AGTTGCTGAGGCTGGCCTTGAACTTGTGATCTTCATGCCTCAGCCTCCTGAGCTGCTGGGATTACAGGCATGTGTCACTGCACCTAATTTATTCTGCCTTCTTATGGTAAACACTTCATAATAAAACTTTTAAAGTCACAAATATCCTTCTAAGTGTCGTCAAAACTTCAATGTGCTGTGCTTTACTTTTTGATATGCTAATTTCGTGTGAGATTTCTTCCTTACCCATGGATTTTTAGAAATCTGTTGTTTCATTCCCAAATACTCAGGGCTTTTCTAGATAGTTYACGATGGCTGATTTCTAATTTAATCCCATCATGGCCAGCCAGCATGTTCTGTCCATTTTCAGTCTTGGAGGTYATCAAGACTTAGCTCTGGTGCAGCGGATTCCTGTCTGGGTGAGTGCCCTGTACATCCTTGAATGATGTCTGGTGGAGGTGGTCAGTAGTGCCTTAGGAGCTTYGGTAGAGTTACTGTTTTTGTTTTTTTTTTTAAAGATCATTGTATCAAATATAGGAGAGGGTGTTCCGTCTCCAGCTTTCTTTACCTGTCAGTTATTTCACGTATGTTGAAACTGTTACTTCCTGTATGTGCATCTAGAATCCCTGTCACCGTCACCGGGGCCATGCTGGTGTTTCAGCTGTTGAACTGCCAGCTGCATGCTGGCAGGCTCACTGCAGACCTCCGAGCGCCAGTGCCCACAGGACCGGCTCCAGCACTATGGACTATGTAGTGTTTTGACTACAGTCCTGGCTGTGAGGGAGGAGATGGGGGAAGGTAATGAAGAAGAGGCCCAAAGCTCTTAGTCACAGATATTCTTGGACTCGTCTCTCTTCAGGCTGTTCCTATGTGTCAGGCTCCCATGTGGTTGCTAGCTTGAGAGCAACTGTTTTAAGAGCCAAAGATTTAAAAACTGTATAATAAATTCTGGACGTGGTCACACACGCCTGTGATCCCAGCCACTTGGGAGGCTGAGGCAGGAAGATCGCAGGACCAGCCTCAACAACTTAACAAGGTGCTATCTCAAACTTTAAAAAAAAAGCGCTGGAGGGGCTGGGGCCGGGGCTCAGGGGCAGAGCACTTGCCTGGCATGTGTGAGGCACTGGGTTCGATCCCTAGCACCACATAAAAATGAAACAAATAAAGTCATCCTGTCCATTTACAACTACAAAAATAGGTCTGGGGATATAGTTCAGTTGGTAGAGTGCTTGCCTTGTATGCACAAAGGCCCTGGGGTTAATCCCCAGCACCACACACACACACACACACACACACACACACATACACCAAACACAACTACAAAAAATAAAAATAAAAAGTGTCAGAGATGTGGTTCACTGGTTAAGCACCCCTGGGTTCAGTTCCAGGCACTAAAATGAAAAACAAAACACAATCAGAAAAACTCAATTATAATCAGAACCTTTCCTAGCTGTGCTGTGACCTAGCCCTGCTGCTGGTAGTGTGGACCTTATCCAGGTAGTAGGACCTTACCCTTCTTCTGTATAGGTCTGTAGGGGCTCAACAAACCCTTTTATTTAAGAATGGGCTGGGGATATAGCTCAGTTGGTAGGGTGCTTGCCTTGCATTTACAACACCCTGGGTTCAATCCCCAGCACCACCAAAAAAAAAAAAAGAACAGAATTAAAAAAAAATTAAAGTATAGTAATGTGCTGTTGGATATAACTATTCCCTGAATAACCAAACAAGATGCTGAGCAATTGTAGGAAAGAAGAATATCCCCACAATTGGTTCCTTCGGAGCCTCTGAGATGGAAGTCCCTTGAGCATGAAGTCACTGGATGGGTGTGAATCCCCTCCCACCATGGGAGGTGCGTCCCTGGAAGGGTGTCTGGAAAGCAGGGACAGCTGGTCAGGGGCCTAGCACTTACAGTGGTGTGATTTGGATATGGAAGCAGTGTCAGGCTGAGCAATCAAAGACGACCCCATAGCGAGACACCTGCAAGGACTACACCTGTCCCCCCAGGCAGAGGAGATGGCAGAAAAGACAGACTTCATCAAAGATGAGGTGGAGGGCGGGGCTGGGCTGTGGCTCAGTGGTAGAGCGCTTGCCTGGCATGTGAGAGGCACTGGGTTCACTTCTCAGCACCACATAAAAATAAAATAAAGATATTGTGTCCATCTACAACTACAAAATATTAAAAAAAAAAAAAGAAGATGAGGTGGAGGCTGGGTCTGCTTCTGGAATTTTGAAATGCATATTTTCAGATAGTATGTTCATTTCCTATAAACTGATTAATGTAGTTTAATTATTACCCTGAATTTTAAATAAATTTGTCAATTAATTTAATCAGAAAACTTAATCTTTTTTTTTAAGTACTGTGCATTGAACTCAGGCACTTGACTACTGAGCCACCTCCCCAGCCCTATTTTGTATTTTATTTAGAGACAGGTCTCACTGAGTTGCTTAGCGCCTTACTCTTTTAGCCGAGACTAGCTTTGAACTCGCGATCCTCCTGCCTTAAGTCTCCCTAGCTGCTGGGTTTATAGGCGTGCACCAGTTTTAATTTTTTTTTTTAATATTAATTTTTTTTTTATCTTAATATGTAAAAGAAACTACAAGAGAATCTTTCAGGATAATAGATGGGGAAACTTTTCATGTATTTCCTAAGCTATGAGAACTTTAATTTTTATAGGATGATATAAGAATATGCTAACTTCGGTTTCTGATGAGAACAGTTTGACCCGATTAACTTGCTTGAAATATTTGCGAGTTTAAAATTTTCAAACATGGATAATGAATGTGATTTGTAGCTCTAATTTTAAAGTTAACCTAAATTATAAATCAGTTATCTATTTTTACCTACAAATAGTATTGAGCAGGTGAACAACCTACGAGAGGTACAAGCTCTGAGGCGTCTGAATCCACACCCAAACATTCTTACGTTGCATGAAGTAGTTTTGTAAGTATATTTGGAGCTTAAAAAATTATCTATTTGAAAACTTGTTATTGATTAAATCTCCTTTTAAGAAAACCATGGTGGACTTACAATATTTATAGCTCAGAGAATAATGATTTTCATTTCACCTCACGTTGCATTTCTACTTGGACAATTGCGTATCTGACCCCTCATTTGGAGGTGTCTTCAGAGAGGTGACCTCATATCGTGGCAGCACGCAGCATTCAAGGTTTGGCTCCTAAAGCTTGGTTTGGAACTCTGAAGGCTTGAACATGAGTCATGACCTCCCAGGCGAGCCCTGCGATGCTATTTCATGTTCTCATCTTGTTGCTAACTGATCTCTCTGCAGTCTCTTACAGTCTTTCTTACAATAATCGATGTCATTTCAAGGCATTTCCATTTGTTCTAATTGTAGAGTAGTTTTCATAAGGCTTACCTGCCAATCAAAAAGATAGAGCCTGGCTTGTCCCTTGGTGTGCAGGGGCTCAGGAGGCCTCCTCCCACCAGCATAACCTTGCCACTTCTGGGAAGGTGCTGGTTGGCCTTGCTACAGCTCTGCAGGGACCCTGGCTTATAAAGTTGGCCTGGGAACTCCAGTCTCTGCCAGTTAAAGCTCGATGGATTTTAATCAGAGGATGCAACAGTTTTAAATTCAAAACGACTTGTCTTGACATAGCTGTGTGGCCCCTTGACATAGCTGCAGTGTTCTTAGCACGGTTTGCACATAATAATCACAACACTGTGTACACACACACACACACACACACATACACACAGACACACACACACTCTCTATGCAGAGCACTTCTGGCCAGAATCTCCTGAGACCCCTGCCAGGTGGCCTGCTGTGACACAGGCTCCCCTTTAGGGGTTGAATGGAATCCAGAGAAGCTTGTTGGCTGGGCCTGAAGCCTGGAGTATGAGTGAAATGTGACTCTCTCTTCTGCCTGGGAGTGGCTTTTGCTTTTGGCTCTCCAGTTGTAATATATCCCAATTACATGTAAATAATTAGGTACATTAAATTATTTTAAAATTAATTAAAACTAGATGTTCAGTCATAGAGCATGAGTTAAGTTCCTTTTTCTTTTATTGCTTTGCTTAGCTAATTCCCCAGACTTTCTTCTTTCTGCTGGGTTAATTTTATATATTCAAGACATATCTCTTTTTTTAAAAAATGGCTTTTAGAATTTTGCTTAAAATAAATTTTTACGGTTACTGAAAATTAAATTTATCTGAAATATTGGTTGAAAATCAAAATCTCTACTATTTTAATAATTATATTGCCATCTTTGGCTGATGTAGGAGTGCCTTATATTTACCAGAAATGTTTACAGTGAATTAAATATTTGATCATGTTTTCTGATTAAGACAAAAAATATTTAAAACCTGCTTTCTTCTTCAGTGACAGAAAATCTGGTTCTCTTGCACTTATATGTGAACTTATGGACATGAATATTTATGAGCTCATACGAGGTACGTAGACGATTTCGAAAGCTACCTTATAATACTCTTTAAGTTTGTAGCTCACCTGTATCTTGCTTCCGATCTCATAGTCCTTGGTCCCCACAGAGCAGTGGTGACAACCAGGACTTGCTTGCTCCTGGAGGCGTTGCTGTGGCAGGCTGGCCTCCCAGGGTGACTGCACGCAGGAAGGGGAGCCAAGGCCTTCCGGTGACCCTGTGATTTGGAAAAGTGGTGCTGAAGGCAGCAGAGCATTRCAGCTTGTACCTTCCTGGCGGGGTGCCGAGCTTTGGGGCCCCTTGCTCTGAGGTACCTCTCCCTGGGGTCTCCTTGCTGCTTGACTCTGTTCCCTGCTGAACAAGGCAAAGCTTCCCTGAAGATCCTAGCTTTGGGGAACCCCTTGCACCTTGCCATGCACTGGTGTCCGGGGTGCTCATTATTTCCATCTTTGAAACAGTAAAGCTCTGTTAGGGAAGCTTGGCCTGAGCCGGCCTCAGCCGGGGCCAGCCTTGGGTGCTTGCCGAGGGCACATCAGAGAGCCAGCAGGCAAGGGGGCAGGTGGTTGGCCCCCAGTGAGCAAGTGTCCCGGGGCTCTGACCTCATGGGTCTGCCAGCTGTTAGGACAATGAACCTGGTGCATATCACTAAGAAACAACAGCCAGTATCCCATTCAAATCACACTACCCAAGGTCACACGAAGAAAATTAGCTGCTCTAATGTCCTGTGAGTTCAGATGATTGGGAATAGAATTTAAGTGGAAACATCATAGGTGATTTATTTTTTTTTATTTATTTATTTTTTTAATATTTATTTTTTAGTTCTTGGCGGACACAACATCTTTGTTGGTATGTGGTGCTGAGGATCGAACCCGGGTCGCACACATGCCAGGCGAGCGCGCTACCACTTGAGCCACATCCCCAGCCCTATCATAGGTGATTTAAAAGCTGTATTATCTCAAACAAGTTAGACTGAAAGCAGCGTGCCACGGTCCCTTCAGATAGAGAGGCAGACACTGGTGCTGAAGAGTCCAAATACAGTTGTCTTTGTGAAGTGACAGGATGAAGACAGTGTTGTGTCAACATTAATATAAGGCGCCTGGTGTCCTCACCCCTGAGGACACTCTGGGGATGTCAGAATTTGAGGATGCCTGGTGTTGCTTTTGCACATAAGCCAGCTCTTGCTCCCGTGGGTTTCACGCCACCTCCTGGTGACTTACAGGACCAGATACAGTGTGGATGCTGTGGAAATGATGGTTGTTATTAGGAGACAGCGACAAGGGGGAGAGTCTGTACCTGTTGAGCACAACCATTGATGGTTGAATCTACAGATAGGGAACCCACACAGACAGGGATTGCTTGTATTTTATTATGTGATTTTAAATATTTATGTKGTCATAAATTACTAAGAAAATAAGTCATATGTGTAAGCAAGTTTTTCTACATTCTTAAAAGTTTATGTATATAATTGGTCAAAAAACTGTGGATCTTTTTGGGAAAAGAGGAGATTGCCTCATATCTGGGATTATATGGTATTTCTTGTTTTGTTTTGTTTTTTGTGGTGCTGGGGATTGAACCCAAGGCCTTGTGCTTTCGAGGCATGCACTCTAGCAMCTGAGCTGTATCCCCAGCCCTGTATGGTATTTCTTATACATTACAAATCTCATGTATTTATTCGCTTAGTAATTTGTTTATTCTTGTTTAAGTACAACTCTAACAAATGTAGTCATCTGTTTTTTTTGTCAAAACCACTCAAATTTGAGCTGTTGGAGAGAACAAGCCTCTGGGCCTGGACATACCCACAGTGGGAGAAAGTGGCTGGAGATGGTCCAGCAACGGGCAGGAAGCCCAGGGGGGCAGCAGATGTGAGCAGGCCGGGCAGGAGGAGCTGTGTCAGGAGGCCGCAGGGGGCTTTCTCTCTGAGGAGTGAGCCTCTTGAACCTGGGGATTTTACTAACCAGCATCTCATTCCACGTGGTCTGGATAAGGGGGGCTGTGCTGGTTCTTCACGCTGACCCTCTGCGTGTAGGTCTTGATTGTCAGTTACAATCCTTGGTTGTCAGAAACAACCCCTACATTTTTATTATTACTTTTTATAATATTCTTTTTTTTCAACACCAGTAAGTCAACATGGCTTTTTTCTTTTTGTAGTACTGGGGATTGAACACAGGGCCTCACGCATGCGAGGCAAGCTCTTTGCCACTGGGCTGCACACCCATCCCCAAATTTTGCTTTTTAAAGAACCTGTACAATCCCTTGGTGTAAGGTGATGCATCCTGATTTAGAATTCCTGTGGTGCTTCCTAGAGTGTGGTATCTTAAAACTCAAGGGGAGCCGGGAACAGTGGGGCAGGCCCCCCAGGAATTCCAGCGGCTTGGAAGCTTGAGGCAGGAGGATCGGGAATTCAAACCCAGCCTCAGCAACTTAGTGAGGCCCTAAGCATCTCTGTGAGACCCTGTCTCTAAGTAAAATACAAAAAAGGGCTGGGGATATGGCTCAGTGGTTAAATGCCCCTGGGTTCAATCCCTGGTTCCAAAACACAGGGGGTTATGAGAAGGAGAATTTTCAGCACATTGCTCTGTGTTTAGATATCTGAGAAATCTTTGCTCAGAATAAATATCTTTGATTTCCAGTAGGCGAGGGATTGTATAATTGCAGAAATTGAAGCCTTCTTTCCCCAGTGTCTGCCTGCAGGGACTGCAGCCTATGGCTGTACAGATCCACAGACGTCCATTCCTTATGTTGTTACTGAGCCAGGCCCCTCTGGTTTCCAGCTGTGCACTAGGCCAGTCACTAGAGCAAGGAGTTTGCAAGAGTCATTCCTAAGACAGCCAAGCATGAGGAGTGGGGAGGTCCAAGCCCTAAGTCCACCTCCTGAGGACATTTGTGGACACCGGGGGATGAAGAAGCAGCGTGGCCTAGGGTGTGGGAGCCGATAGGAGGCAATAGTCAGCAGTCCGAGCACACTCAGCCTACCTCCATGGCTCTTCATGGGACACCTGCAGAAAATGGTGGTGTTAGCGTGATCTGAAGGTGGAATCTTTTGCTTCCTGATGTCAAAGGTCACCTTTGGGACACCCGTGCTAGGCCAAGCAAAAAGGTCAGTGGCTTAGACAAAATGGTCCCATGTCCCCGAAGCATAACCCTAGCACCTGTTATCATAGTGACCCACATGTCAGAGGACAGCAGAGCTAGTGGAGATGAATAACATAGCTCTCTGTGTGGCCTCCAGAATTAGTAACTTTGAAGCCAGTAAAAAGCCCATGGCTCGGGGGTGTCTGGGGAGCACAGGAAGAAAGAAGGCAGAGGGGTGGTTGTGGGCAGGAGGCAGGCSGTGTCCTGGCTGGCACTTACCAGGTTAGGGCTCTGTCCTCCACGGGCCTTGTGCAGAGGTCTTGTTCTCTTGATGGGTACATTCTTAGGAGTGGCTCTCAATCCTGAGAGTCACCCCTTAGCAGCAGATGCCGAGTGGGAACTGGGGCCGTCAAACATGGCCAGCTTTACCCAGAGGTCCAGTGTCCTGGGGGCCCAGGGCTGTGCTCAGTGCACTGAGCTGATGAAGATGCCAGCAAAGTGGGGCACCCTGAACTCAGAGCCGGTAAAAGGGAGGAAAGTCGCCTCAGGGTCAGTGGACTGAGTGACGGTGACCAGGGCTCGCGGCTCCTATAGCCCCAGTGCTACTCTGAATACTTCATCGGAGGTACCTCCTCTTACCTCTGCAGCAACCGCCAGGCCACTGCTATTATCCCCATCTCAGCATGAGGAAATGGAGGCACAGAGAAAGTGATTACCTAGTAGGTGGTAGAGGGGCTTGAACTTGGGCTGGTCCCACGGTGCCGGGTTTTGTTTTTTTTTTTTCCAATTTTGTTTTAGTTGTTGATGGACCTCTATTTTATTTATTTCTATGTGGTGCTGAGAGTCGAACCCAGTGCCTCACATGCCAGGCAAGTGAACTACTGCTGAGCCCCCACCCCCACCTAGGGTGCTGTTTTTTGACCACCTGACAGAGTCCTCTGACAACCCTCTGTGGTTGGCACTGTTATTATCAGCCCCGTTTTACAGATGAGGAAATTGGGGCTTGAAGGATGAAGTAATAACCTCACGTGAAGCTTTAAAAATGCCTGAGGCAGGGCTGAAGCTCCAGCCTCGACCTTGACTTTGCACTGCTCCCCTGAGCTCCCTCCTGCCTTAGCTCAGAGCCTCCTAGGAACAGGCACTTCCTCTGGTCTGCTCCTGTGAGGGCAACACTGATCTGTTAAAAGCCAAGTAATCACTAAAGCAGCAGCTTCTTTTTTTTTTTTTTTACCAGAATAGCAATTCGTGTGACTTAAATTACTACTGTCTTCAGCAATCAGGCATTCAGTAGTGCTGTTAAATAGTAAAGAGCAAGATAATGAAAGGAGGGAGGAGTGGTCACAGTCTGGACTGTCTACTTCCCGCACCCAGGTGTGCGGGGCCTGGGTCCAGCAGGGGCAGAGGTGGAGGGGACGCCCTCCGGATGGTTTTGTTCTCAAGATGCCTGTGGCTGTGAACCAGGGGATGGCCAGATGAAGGTGGGTGGTTTTCTCTTTGTCCAGCAGGGGTCAGAGGAGGCTGAGGTGATGAGGGTTGGAGAAGTGCCTGTCTCCTGGAGGGTGGTAGAGAAGGGTCACAGTGGGGACCCAGCAGACCCAGGCCCCACCCTGTGGAGCTCACACTGTTCCTGGGGTTGGCTTTTCAGAGGCTGTGGTGGGACAGGCATCCTGAATGAGTCCATGGCACTGGAGGAACGAACCAAGTAGGAAACAAGCAAGCAAACTTGGTTTGACTGTAGGTAGCAGCATGGTTAGTCTCCGTGAATAGATGACACTCCACATTACTGTGCTGGATTAATTCAGTTGTGTTTTTTATTTTTTTTTACTTATTTTTTTAGACATTTAGTTTTTTCAGTTATAGGTGGACACAATACCTTTATTTTTTTATCTTTATGTGGTGCTGAGGCTGGAACCCAGGGTCTCAGGCACGCCAGGCAAGGCT